GAGCATTAATGATGTTTTCTTGCCTAATTAGATTAACAAAACATGAGCACAGATGCTTTTTTCCCCTTGCAGCCCTCCCAAGGAGCACCACCCATCTGGCCCCGGGATGCTCCATGGGGAGATGTTTCCCCGGGCACCCCTAGGGCTGGAGGAGGTTCTTCCTGCAGTGAGGACACCCCCAGCACCCAGGGGCTCGTTCCATTAGTTGGGTAAATCTGAGGGAGGACGTCTTGCTCATTGAGCATTAGTAGGATCCCCAGGCGGAGCTACTGGAACTCCAAGACAGTGATAACAAAAGGGCTATGAAAAAGAGAGGAGGCTTATCTCTAACAGAGGAGAATCATTTGATTCAGAGTGAGACAAGAAGCAGATAAGAAGCCAGAAACACTCACAAGTCCAGAATAACAGTGACCTACAAAGCATGGGATTCCTGAAAAACACTGATAAACTGCCCTGAGACCTCATCAGCTTTCCTCCCTGTTATCAGATTCACACAAAGGCAGGTAGCACATGCTCAGTGCCTGGCTCCCCAGAGGAGAGAAGAAACGAAGGAAATCTGCTGCACTGTTTTTGTGAGGGAGAAGTCACAGAGCAGATCCAAGCACAGTGTTAAAAGGATTGCACAAAACCAAATGACCTCAACAGCTGCTGGTAGGGAATTGTGCATTATCATTAAATAAATAAATAAATGTTTTAATACGCGGTTAAAAAAAGATTAATCATCCATCATCAAGCCCCAGGTTGGCTTTCTTTACTGAATGGCTGCAGGGGGAGCTGGAGGTATCCAGGAACCCCTAATTGACCCCAACCGATGTAAAAAGGGGCAAGCTTAACTGCGCCAGTGATCTTTTGCAAAGTGTCTGAGTGCTTTGGTGTCATGCTCTGCTGTTCCAGGCAATGACAGCCATCAGCTGGCTATGCACAGAGGCTGGCCTGCCTGCCTGCTGCTTTCGGCACCTTGTGCAACCACAGGGCACCCACAGCCCATACTTCAGTTGCCACAGACTCGTTGCGCAGTGAACTAAGTTAATTGCCATTAGCTGTGAGACCACAGGAGGTCAGGGACTCTATAGCAAAGATGACAGCACAAATACACTCTTTTCAGTGCATGCATTAAGATCTGCGTTATTGACTTTTTTTCTTTTTTCTTTTTTTTTTTTCCCCAAGCAAACACAAATATCACCCTGAATTTCCTTCCCATGCTCCTGGGCAGATCCACCACATCCCCAGAGCACACTGAGCCATGTTGCAGAGTTCTTACTTGCACGCAGAGCTGGCCAACTCCAACTTCTCTTACATTGTCAGATCACAGGAACACTCCAAACTCCCATTGCTGCATCATGTCTGCTCTGGACAATGAGGAACAATTGCAGTGATCTACATCAGCTGAGGATCCACTCAGTACCCACCAGCAGCAAAACGTCACAGATTTGCTTCCATCCTTAGGAATGGAGGCATGCAATGATGCAGGTAGGTTAGTTTTCCTGCTGAATGTGTTTTTCATAGCTGTTGCTTATATGGCTGTTAGATTTTATCCATAATGCCTCAAGGTCTGAGGCAGCTCACGGTATTTCATTCTACTTCTGAGGTGGAAGGCTTTATCTGTGCTTTCACAGGTTTTCAAAACTTCACTCTGCTCAGGACAGATTTTGTACTCCTGAGCCAGGTGTACAGTTGAGTAAGAGACTGCTTTTTTTTTTTTAACTTATTTTTTTTGGCTTTTATTCTGCTCCAAATGAAATTATTTTGGCTGAAGGAAATGTCGGCACATTTTGCTCCTTTGAATCCCCACGGATTTGGGATGTAATGCAGGACCCCACATTGAGGCTTAGGATTTTTACAGGCAATTTCTACCTGTCTTCATCATAAAGTGAGCTGAAAGGCTCAGACCAATAACGATCACAAGAAAATCACATGGGGAAAATATCAAGGAAGAAACTGCCTTTTGATTGATGCTTCAGCACTCTCCATCCCTGCCTGGGAAGGAAAGGCTTCGAATACAAATTAATCAGCTTCCATAAAGATAATACAGCTGCTCTGTTTGGACCCCCATGTGCTGCATCACTTTCTGATTACGAACGATATTTGCTTTCCCTGGATATACCTCTGATTTCCTCTTCTAGATGCCAAAAAGTTCAATTTGGACATTATTTGGATCTTTTAAAATATATTTAAAATTTTGGTAGTGCCAACCTGGAATCCAGTGCTCTGATCTGTTCCCTGAAGCAGCCAATGTTTGCTGTTACAGCACAGGGATGCGGGCAGCACCGGCGATGCTGAAGCCAACTCTACAGTGCTGCTGTCTCCATTGCCATCTAGCGGCACCCAGAGCTTGCTTTCTTATGCTGAAAACAAACAAACAAACAGACACAAAAAAACCCTGTCAATCCGGTGGGTTCTCCACCACCACCCCATTAAAAAGTGCATTTTAATTATTTGCTGCTCCCACTGACAGAGCCCTGCAAGGCACCACGAAGGATAGGATTTGCCTGACGCCTCTGCACACTCCAGGATGGGACAAACCAGGGCAGGAAGCACTTCAAATCCATCTCTGAACTGCAGGTACAGCTTTATTTGCTGCTGTTTTAAAACCTCCAGGAAGTTTGCAAACTCTTTGCTGGAGAAGAAAGGCTCATTGACTGCCCAGGTTGTTGCCTACAACAAATAGCGTGCGGCTCTTCCTGCTCAGAGCCCCTTGCGTGCTCCCATTTGTTTTACCTCCCTGTGACATTTCCTGAATACCAACTGCTGTTTGTATTCTTGTACAGTATGAATCATCCCTTCAGCAAACGACACAGGACTTTGCCCTCATTTACGTAGCATGGGTCTGGGAGACGTCGTGTGGCTGCAAAGGGTCACTGCGGGTACGGATGTGGCAGCAGAGAATTTTCCCTCTTGGTCCTTCCTCAGCAACCAATTAGCTTATTTTGCCTTCAAAAGCTATTATCCTCCCTAGAAGGAGGTGTACATCACCACAAGACTCACACCCTCAGGGTCTCAGTGTCACCTGCTGTCCCAACAGTTGGATGGACCCTGTTAGGCTGATGGAAACACACACAAGCAGCATTGAAATACCCATCACATTTCTAGGCCTTTTATAGCAATATAATACTTCATATGGGTCCAGGAAACATACTCTCAAATATTTTGTTCGAAGTTACCTGTATACCTACATAATGCCTACTAGGAGTGTCCAGTTACTACTTCCTGAAATCCATCCCTCATCAGTGCCACAGCATCAGGATAACCCCCCTCTCTCACCCCACCCCAATGTTTTATTTTGCCCTGGAAACAAGAGGTTCAGCGGATGAGGCTCATTTAATAAGCACAAGGATTGCATTGTGATATCTGTATATATATTTATATATTAAAAAAATTTCTACCTTCATAAATACATCATACATAAAACATGTTCCCAAAATACATTCATGCGTTTTCCCCTTTTGAGATCCCTGCTTGTACCCAAAATATCTGTAAGTTGGGAAAGGCAAAGAGGGAAGAGAAACTCATGGTCTGCAGGTGCCTCAAAAACCAGGCCAGGTTGTGAAGAAGCCTTTGGTGTCTGGGTGATGCTGAGGTCAATTCCTGCATCTACGTGTCCAATCCTGACCCACTGGGACAGCAGGGCTCTCCTGCATTCTGTACTCATTGTGCCCTTCATCATCATACTGCACCAGCTGACAATGTTTAAGCAGCCACAGGAAAAAAAAATTGCTCATTACATGTCTGCTTACGAAGGCATAAATATACAAAATATACAAAACAACCACAAACCAATTCCAAGCAGCACCTGGCACAGAGCAGTGCCAGCAATGCAGCTCAGTAACATATGTCCTGTTCAACAGAAGATTCAGTGCAGCACCTCCAGGGCTGCCCACAACCCTCCCCACCCTCCACAGCTGTACCTGAACCTTGAGGCTGTGCAAATGCAGGCAGACGGAGCCTCTGACCCAATGGGGGCTTTGGGGAAGCCAGGGGAACTCCTGCTGGATGCTGAGATTCCCCCCTCTTTACCCCTGATCAGTATTGCAGGTGCACACTCAAAGCCATTTTGGAGACGCTGCCCTCTCTGCCTGAAGCACACACTGGGTATAGGTCAGCATCTCCTTTCCACAAAGCAGTCTGTCATTATGCTGAGCTCTCCCTTAAGCTAGCAGTTGAGAGAAAAATAAATCAATTCTGACTTTTTGCATGTACCCAAAACCAACATCGTACAAGGCAACTGAAGAGAACCATCACATAGCTCCGTATCTCACATCCTCCTGCATCCAACAAACAGCAAGAAACACAATAAAGTTTTGCACGGTACATTGTAAAAAGGCATCACCTCTCAACAACACAACAAAAAAATGAAGTGTCACCATGATGCAAACCCTGCAGGAAACAAGGCAGCGAAGTACAGTGCTCAGCAGCTCCCAGGGATCTCTGCCTGTAGTGTAGTGATGGATTTGTTGGACAAACCTCATCCCAAACCTATCTCCCATTGCACAGGAATACCAGCTTGCATAACCAGATGCTCTGCTTCTAAACACAAAGGTTGGAGGACGCCAGCACGAACTGATGTGAAGCTGTGTGTTGCAGGAAGACAGTGCTGGCTGGGCTGTCTGCTTTGCATCCAGGAGTTTAAGGGCCGGTCATCTTTGCAATGCAGATTGCAGGACAGCAGGTGTCTTTTCAGGCAAGGAAGTCTCATGGGAAGTTTTGCTACAGTTGGCTTGACAACTGAGATATTAGGGACCGGATCCTCTAGTGGCTTCAACCCCACTCACTCCATTGGAGTTACTGGTGTCTGTTTCCACTCATGGAGATCATGGTCCTTGCTTGTCACAGACAGAGAATAAAGCTACGGTAGCCCTTTCTTTAAATAAAATTAAATAACTGCATATTGCATCAGCACGCAACTTGGAATGTGCTTCTGCTGTTAAGAAAATAGCAAGCACACCAGTGATTAATCAAATTATTTCTCTTGAAGTAAAAAAAAGTGATAATGTTACTAATAATTAAAAACTTTGGGGCTGCATAATGTCTTTTTGTCGTATTTTTGAGACTGAGAAAGTCACTGGCATGTGCACAACCTCATATATCCTCCTCAGCTGGGAGCGAAGGTTTGTTTTCCTGGAGGTTCCCATTGCCATTTTCTGATGTGTCTGAGCTGCCGGGGGCTGATTCTGTCGGTGGTGGTTTGTACAGCACACAGGCAATGGTGAAGAAGGTTGTCCCAAGCACCTGCAGCCACCAAGATCACAGAATCATAGAATCACAGAATCATGGAATCATTAAGGTTAGAAAAGACCACTGAGATCATCAAGTGCAACCATCAGCCCATCCCCACCGTGCCCACTAAGCCATGTCATCAGTGCCACATCTGCCGTGTCTGGAACACCTCCAGGGATGGTGACACCTCCACCTCCCAGTGCCAGTGTTTGATTGCTCTTTCTGAGATGAAATCTTTCCTTATATCCCATTACTTCCTGTTCTCCCCATAAACAGATGCCTGGCCCTCAGTGGGTACAAACCAGAAAAGCAGAGCTTCAGTGTGCAAAGGATTTTGAAAGCCACTTTGTCACAATAACTGCTAAACACTGATCTCTATATCAAGTGCCTACTTGGGAGCAGTTGAAACGACGGCTTTCAGCTAATAAATAGGAATCACACAGCTATGCTCTCATATTTTCTAGCAGTGATCAGGAAATGGTTATTTACAGTGTGCCCACAACAGCATCATTCACTCACTAACACTGCAGTTATATACTTTACTCCATTTTTTAGCAAAAATCATTCAGTAACTGTTCGGTGTTTGGATTTTTCTTATGGCTCAACAGAAGCTGTAATGGAATGGAATGGAATGGGAATTTAAAAGAACAGTGCCTGGAGCACCATTACCTGCTGAGAAGCAAGGGAAGCTTTTGCCTTCCCTGAGGATACTTCTTGTCTTAAGGTCTAATTTGGCTTTGGAAGGGGGCAGATGGGCATAGCACAGTTCCGTAAGACTGTCCCCCAGCATGAGCTGCTGCCTCCTGAACACTGCTTGATCAGAGTGTGAAACACCAACCTCACCTTGTAGACCAGCCCGGTGACCAGGGTGTAGCGGCTCATGGCTGAGTTCTGGTACACATAGCAGGAGCCTTGCTCACCACACTGGTCCTGCCAGAGCAGGCAGGATTTGTCGATCATTGACCCAAAGGCAATGGGACCAGGGATACCTCCTGTGGGAAGACAGAACCAATCCTCAGACTGGGTAGAACCTGTGCACCAGCCTTGCAAGACGCAAGGTGCTAGCAGAAATGCACCAGGCACTGTGTCTACTATGATGCAGCAAACTCATCCCGCAGACATTCAGAGCTGTGCCCAAAGCATACTGAATTTCAAGAAGTGAGAGTCCAGTCAGTTGACTTTTGACCCTGACCTACTACTTGCACAAGTACCAAGGAGGGCCTTCAATGCCTCTGGTCCTTTTTCTTAAAATAATGACACACTGCCAGGACATTCTCCTTTGCTCCATCTGTGCTGCGTTGTGGAATCCCTCATTCATTTTGAAAACACTATGAAAATAAAATTAAGTTTCTTTTCTGAAGGATGGCAAGCAAGGGAAAACATCTTCCACTCAATACCTCATGTCCTACCCCTTCCACTTCCAATCCAACCTCTTTTGGACATGTAACAGTGTGGGGCACGCTCTTCAAAGACAACAGACCACACAGATGTGCTGTGCCACTTTGCACCATACCTAGTGTTCGGACCACGATCCACTGGATCCCAAGTGCAAATGACTTTTGCCTGTCGGAGACGCACCTGGGGAAGAAGAGGGCAGTTCAGTAGCTCCACCAGGCTGCATGGCACCAACTTTCCCATCGTGCCTTCACTGGGGCTTGTGCCAATGGGGTAAAATGGTGGTGGGATAACTGAGGATTCTTGCAGAGGATCCTGGGCTTACCGTAGCGTTGCGGTCAGGGCAGGAATGCTGCTCAGGAAGGTGAAGAGGATCACCACGAACATGAAGAAGAGCAGGAGAGTCCTTTTTGCACAAGGGGAAGTGCATTTCCCTGCTTCTGCCTCACCGGGGCCAAGCAGGAGAGTTTTCTCAATGCAGCTACACTCACGGTAGACCTGGGAAAGAAAGGCTGGTGAGCAGATTGCTGGGGAGAGCATGGTGATAGTCAGGACTGGGTTTTAAAAAGAAATGAATTTGGAGAGGGCAGAAAGCAGCTGGTTTTGCTCCTGGTGTGGATTGAAAAAGAAATCAGGCTGTGTTCTTGACGAACCTACTTCAAAACAGATTATTAAATAATAGAAATCAACTTTGCCAGGCAGCACTTCAACACTGAATGTCATCATTACCTATCTTGAGCGTTTTCCTATGTCTATAAGCTGTATTCAGGAAGTATGTGGAGGTGCATCATGTGCACTGAACACCCAAAACAACTCTCATAAGCACTGGCTAGGAATTAGATGCTCACCAAGCTTCCCTCCTTCCCTGGGTGACATCCCATAGATCTCAGTGCAATTTGACCCAGAGTGGGGCAAAATCAAAGTTGGGCACATTGAGGGAAGTAAAGCAGGGTGACCTCCAGGAACCTTTTAACATCCTTCCAGGTGGTCCCTGAGCACATCCTCCATCTGCTCTGTGCTGTCTCTGCCTTTTACACTAACTTGCAACAAAGCCCAAACCTGAGTATGCTTTTGCAGAGCCAGCCAGAACATTGCAAAGATAGTGTGCTGCTGCCTTATCAATACACAGTGCTGTGGGACATACCTTCTTGCCATTGCGGAGGTTTTCAGACACTTTTCTGCATCCAGCATGACAAGGAGAGTAATACATAACATCATCACTTCCGCAGACAGGGCTGTAGGTCTCCTGCAGGCATCTGCACTCTGCGTTGCACACTGCTGTCAGGTTCAGCTGGCCACCAGGCAAAGTGCTGAAGGAAGCATGGGAACAGTCAGTGGGGAGAGCCAGAACGGTTCTCCAGGATGAAAAAGGGTAAAGAATGAGAAGGAGAAGAGGAGAAATAGAAGATGCAAAAGAGCTCTGGAGAATGTAACACCAGGCCTGGGAAGGGTTTCATCTCACCTACTGTAGCCAGGAAACAGGAACTGAGCTCTGCAGCTACAAAGGATGCTTTAGTGACCAGATCAAAAGGAGATATCTACTTTTGAACAGGAGATCCCACTTTTAGTCTATACCACATTGTTTGTACAGGGGGAGATCTTGTGAAGACCACAGAAGAGTAGACAGACTGAGATGTTGCTGCTGCTGACCCTCTTGCTGGCTTACACTCCCAGTTAAATTCCAAAGTTTCGATATACGTATTCTGGGGATATGGTTCTCACCCTCAATATCTGCCTCTAAGACTGACTGGACATTACCTTCCATTTCTAACCCTAAGCAATGGCCAACATCAAGACCATGTGTTTGGCACTACATTCCAACTAGGGCCACACAGTACAAGACATGGTTATTACCTTCCGTTGTACATCTGGGTTACTCCTGCCATTGGCATGTTAGGGCAGTGAATGAAAAAAATGAAAATAGCTAGCAGACTTGACACTGTGCAAAGTAAACACAATTTGATGATTCCTGAGCAGCGGAGTTTAAATTTATTCACAAGGAATCCACCTAGGAATGTGCCTCCACCTCCAGCCGGCACAACCAGATAGCCTGAAAAAGAGAGACAAAAAAAGCACAAACAGATTTAGAAATATCAGTGAAGAGTTTCTCATTTATCATACATGCAGTGTGTCTGCATGAGAATAACCCTTTGGTTGTTGAGTTGCTTTTTGGTGGGAGTTTAGGAAAATTTGCTACAATAAGTGAACCTCCACAGTTCCTAGGGTAATGTGGCTTGAACCTGGTAAGGCAAATTCTTTTCCCTCTAGATCTTAAAAGAGACAGTTTAAGGAGCACATCGTGAATACTGATGCTTATTTGGAACCCGTGGAACTCAGATCAAACTTTCTTGGTCTGGAATGCAAGAGTTAATTGAAGATCTTCCCATTTTCTGATAAAGTATTCTTGTTAGAAGCACTTGTTAACATTGCCTGGTTATGTCCAAGAAGGAATTGAATACAGGTTTTCACCTTTCTCCAGGTAGTGACAGTGGCTACAGGAGTGATGCATTTCTTACTGATGTCAGTAGATAGAGCTCTGAAAACACACTTGGTACAGACATGCTGATAGGAAATGATCCTCACTGCCTAATAAGTGGAAGACGACTACCTTTCTGTAAATGAATGGCAAAGCGTGTTAGTCTCATTCTACATGAAAACTGAAAAACATAGCAAAACCAGGTTTCCTTACCAAAAAGGGTAGCAGCTTCAGAGGCACTTAAACTAAACTGAGACTCCAAGAACTTGGGTCCAAACGTGGACATCCCAGCAATGAGAGTGGCTTCTGTCGCTCCTGCTAAGCAGAGGAAGATGAAGGTGGGATTCTTCAGGAGCAGCAATACTGATCTGGGAAGGACAAATACACTGGAATTGAACTGCTGTGGCACATTTCGATTTCAGATATATTCCCTCCACATGTAAGACAGGGAAGCATCACACCATACTGTATCCCATGGAAAGAAGAATCCCAATGGGAGCTTTTAAAAGAGCAGTGACATTCTCCACTTCAACTTACTGAGTTCTACCAGCCAAGGAAGGATGCAGACGATACCCTGACTTCTCCCCATTCGATTGCATGCTGAGAATCAAGTTTGCCCTTGAACTCTGCATTATAGGACATCTCTTGCATGTCTACTGCTGTTGCTACTACAGGGCAGCCAGACTCTGTGTGGTCTTAAATGCCCTCAGGCACAGGTTTACCTTCGCAGCTTTTATAGCCCCACCAACAGATGGATCCAAAGGAATCAGAGAAATGTCAGCCAAATACCTAAAACTGGAGGGGACAATATGGGATTTTTCTCTGTGGACTTCATGAAGGCACCAGATGGGTCTATGTGAGTATGGATAGGCAAATAAAAGCACTGTGTGTAATGTGATTTGCACTAAGGATGCCCACATGACCACCACTTCTATTTGGGTCTTTTCAGTGGTAATTTACCAACATTTGGGTCCAGGATGCAAAGCATGTAATAACTTCCACTCCTAAATGGCATGATTGTGGAGGGACTCTATTTGACACCAAATCTCAATCACTCCAAGGTTGTAGCAGTCCCTAATGGCAGTCATCCTGGGACTCCTGTGTGAAACATTTATGAGCTGGGAATAAAGCTGTGTTATATACCTACGTACACGTGTTTCTCAAGTGCATACATGTCCTCAAGAGACTAACAATCACTTACAAACACGTTTTTTTTTTTGCAGCTTGTGGGAAATACCAGGCAAGTCTTTCTGTACAGAGAAGGCACCTCTAAAACACCTTATATCTCACAGGAAAACAGAAAGCAATCTTTCTCCCATAGTCTAAGCATAGTTTTATGTGAAGATTAACATCTAAGTTGAAACAATACATTTTGTTTTTGACCTACTGGGATTTAGTAGACAGCCAGAGATATTCATGAAAAATTGCCATATGTCATTTATATGCAGAAAGATGATCCAGCAATAATTCCATCTCTGAGACACAGAAACACCCTCAGGCACATGGAATGGCCTCAATTATTTCCCACTATCTCGGATATTGGACTAAGAGAGCTGCTTTGGAGGGAGCATTTTGTAACAAGCTTGAAATTCTGCCACATAACTTGCCCCAAGTTTAGCCCTGACCAGTACAGCAAATCGTCTTGTTTTTGGGGTATGACACAGCCTCATCACACTGCAGCAGCAGCAACTGGGACCCAGGAGGATGCTCACTGAACTGAAAGGCACTGTCAGTTAACAGCCAATGCTTGGGAAGAAATGTGAAATGGGAAAAAATCTACTGCAGAACCACCAAGTGTGTGAGGTGCTCAGCATTAGATACGCTAGGAATTCAGGGATTTACCTGGTTTAACCCAAATAAAGTGGACAATTCCATTATGTCAATAGAACAAAGAGGCTGAAAGACATATATATGACACGTTCTTACACCTTGATTTCAGAGGACTCTATAATAACCATTGTCCAGCTACTGGGATTGTCTTAATTTACTAAACTATTTAACAGGAATGGTCTTTTCAACTGTACTTCTTTCAGAAGAAAAAAGCCTAATCTCTTAGCTAGAAAACACTCCTTGTGGGCCTCTTGACTGCTGTAGAAAACATACAATGCCTTCACCATTTACAGTTGAAGAGAAAAGAGGAGAGTGGTTCCCTGGCAAAAGCATTACTTTGTGCCTGTTGGACAAAGGTTGCAGGTAGGAAATTTAAGAGGAACAACTTTCAGCATGATGAATGACCTGCATCATTTCTTGTTTGCAGACAGAAGAGGTATTTAGGAAATAATGCATATAAAACCTCAACAAAGTCAACACATCTTTTTATTGTTAGCAGCAGGATTTCAGTCACACCCAGAAACCACATAATTTTCAAGAAGTCTTGGCTGCCCTTGGGTTTAGCAGCCAAAGTGATTTCAGAGAGGTCAGCACTCCCAGAAGTATCCTACCATGTATAAAAGCCTCATCCTACAAATATTTACTCATACAGACACGTGGGCACCCTTTCCTCTTGTAATGGTCCTGTTAAGTGAACGGGGAACGTATCTGAGGAGAAGTGCATGCCCAGGACAGCAAGCTGCCAGACTGTAACACCACATAGCCACGTGCTAGCAGTCAATAGTGATAGATGAGTATTTGTGCAATCTTACATCATGTGAACAGGGATATTTCCAGCACACAGCAATGACATCTGCTCCACCAAGTGGAGCACCACCAAGTGGATCAATCACCACCACCAAGTGGATCGAGGGGAGCATTTATGTCCCAGAGGAATGAAAAACATCCTTTCCTTACCATACTGATGCTGCAGTAAGGCCATGACACATACCAAAGCCCCATCCTGCCTAGTAGCCCAAAGGAGACAAGAGAAATACTGGCTGTAGCTTTTTGCCCTGAAGACTGGCAAACCAATGAGTGATCTTCAAGCTCCACCTTACTTGCTAGTAAGGAGCAAGTCTTCTGTGCTGCCTTGCTGTGGCTCTATGTGTCTTCTCTTTGAACTCCCCTACATGGACATCAGGGGATGTTCCATGCAAGCAGTCATGCAAGCAGAAAGAAAGTGCTCTTTTATCATGCCTTCTCAGCCCAAAAACTAATACAGAGGGCAGAAGCTTAAGCTGTCTGGGCTTTGTTCCTGCACACTCCTGCTTTTAGGGAGCACTGTGAATACAGCAATGCATTAAGCTCTCTTATAAAAGACCTGATGGTGTGGAATAGTATTCTTTTTCATCTGTGTTTCTTCTTATCTTTGTGATGCTCTTACTGTCCGTACTGTGAGAAAATCTGTAGCAGCCAATCTGTCATCTAAACAAAAGCAACAGTGTCCTTTGGCCTTGCTCTGTGCACAGGGCCACACGTACCCAAGAGCTGCACGCAGATGTGGTCTCCTCTTTAATGGAAGTTTCCAGAACAGCAAGCCTTTAAGGCACTTCCCTTTCATTAATCAAAAGCAGGGAACACAAATGTCTGGTGGGTTTTTGCATTCAAAAGAGAAGAAACGTCTGAGGTTTAAAAACAAGAAAAAAGCACGTTAAGAACTGGACTGATCTGCATGGTGTGAGATGAGCCAAGCTGCCTTCAGTGCTCATTCTTAGGGCATTAGGCATGAAGGAAGACAGTCCTCTAACTCCTCACCTTAGTTAGAGGAAGACACCTCTAACTACTGCTAGGACAGTCCTCATTAGGAATAGTAGGAGCTTTGTTCAAGGTAAGCAAGCAAAACACAAAACTCTGAATTCATCCCTCCCTGCTGCCCAGTTTGTGTTGGTTTCAGTCATAACCTTATCGTCATTTAAATGCAGGTTTTGAATTTAATTTCCGTGTGGAGAATAAGTCATGACCTTGGAAAATGGCACCAAGTCAAGTATGCCATTTAATAACAGTATTGAAATCTATTCCATGTAATATTCTTCATGAAACTGCCTTAACCCCTGGTAAACTTCCCATGAGGTCTCCAGGATTCCCTCACTGTGTGAGAACCCGCATTACTCAACACGGATGGAGTGCTGCTGATAGCTCCTGCACTCAGCACCTGCCTCAGCCCTCCTCTGCCTGCACAAAGTTCTGAAATAACAGCAGCATGGGCTCTGGCAACATGTTGCCAACACATGCAGATGCAAATTCCTCCCTAAGAACGGTCCTGGGAGAAATGCAAAAATGAAAAACTCTTTTATTGATGTCAAGCTTGCCATCCAAAATGAAGCAATGCCCAGATCTCTCTGCAGCACCCACAGCTCCACGCTCAGTTGAAGCCAAGCCAAGTAAACAAAGAAGCATCTCCATTTAAATAAAACTCAAAACAGCAACAACAGAAAATCATAAATGATTTCAAAGATCCAAGACTTGATTTCATTTTGGCCTCTTACTTGTTTTTACCCAAAGTTCCAGATTCCTTTAAACCATTTCCTACCAAACCTGTGTGAGTGTGCTTGCCCACACGACATGCCCTGGGATTTCACTTGTTGCTGGATCACTGCTTTGCAAGAGAGCTAAGAGGTAGTAACACATAAATGGGATCAGAAGACACAAAGGCAAAACAAACAAACAAAAAAGCCTGTAAGAGGCAGTGAGGAGGTGACTGTCTCTACTAAAATGAGCCAGCTCTCTGTGCATCACCCTCTGGGGCAGCTTTCTCACCGAGGTAGGTCTTTAACTGTTTTCCCAAAGTCTGGATCTGATGCTTTTTTGTGGCTCCCATCCTTCAGCTGATGAGCCTCCGACACCCTCATAACAATATACCTCTGGGACCCTGCAAACGAGAGGCAAATGGGAACAAGGAATAGGTGAGACATGAGTGTTACCAAAGGGGTGGATTTGCAGCAGGAAAACAGGCATCTGAAGAGCCGAGGGGTGAAATTAATGTATTAATTACAATTAGAACACTAGAAGCTCATTCTCCATGTCCAACCCTGTCTTCCCTGCTACAGGAGGGTGCAGGCACAGCCCAACCCTGCGGGTTGCCTACCTGGGAGGCGCTGGGGGTAGCCCAGGATGGGGATGGAGATGAGGAGTGAGGCTGCTCCAGCCCCCAGGAAGCCGATCCACCATGCCCCCACCCACAGCGTGTTCTCTGGGGAGATGTCAGTCCTGCAAGAGACAAAACCAAAAGGACACAAGGGAGAGAGGCGGTGGTTTGAAACAGAAGGGAAAAGCTGGGCACTGCCCTCACTAAAGCTGGCCGAGGTTGGGGGAATGATGGGGACATCACTGAAGGAAATTGCCTCTCCTGGAGAGTTCTGCCGTGTCCACCATCTGTCCTGCCTGACAGATGCTTAGTGCACTTAGTGAGCCTGTGAAATTACATCATTTATTTCTCTTTTCATCTCTCGCTTGCGTGTTTCACCTCATCCCATTTCATTTCTGCTCTGGGGGTTGCAGTGAGCCTTGTTCCATCCTAGAGCCACCCTTTCAGCAAGACAGCTGGTGGAAATAACCCATTCCTTCCCCAAAACCCACTCAACCACTGCAGCCCATTCATCTGCCAAAGAGCCTATAGGCTAAGAGGTGATAAAATAAATTAGAAGCAATAAACAGCGAAGAGAGACAGACCAGGCATTGTGGCCAGATAGCCAGGAGGAAAAGCTGCACTGCTGGCAGCCTGGCCTGATGGGGGAACTCATTCAAAAAATTCACCTGCTGCTCTCAGCCTCGTTACAGCAGGCAGTGCAGCATAAGGAAGGATTTAGGCTGACAGGTTCATGAGCAATTCTCTTCCAGTGACAGCATTACTGCAATCAACCATTCCAGCCTCAGCGCCCCCCACAGCAATGCTGCTGAACACAGCGGACATTTTCCCCCCAGCCACTGAGTTATTTTCCTGGATATTTTTTTTACCCCAAAGGAAACATACAGCATAAAGGAAAAGGAACAAGATTATTTTTTAGCCACTTACTCTCTGCCAATTTCAGTATAAATATTTAGAAACATTCCTCCTACCAGATAACCCGCTGCAGGACCAAGGATTGCAGCAGTGTAGAAAACAGCTGAAAGGGAAAACAAACGGTGTTAGAGAACCTGCAGAACTACAGCGGATGGGCTGCTGCTGGGGAGTGCTGATACCCACAATACAACCAGCAGCACTGAGGAATGAACAGCCTGGAGAAGAGAAGGTCTGGGAAGACCTCATAACAACCTTTCAGCATCTAAAGAGGGGCAACAAGGAAGGTCTGTTCAGACCTTTCAGTCTGGTCTGTCGTGGAGCAGGTTGCCCAGACAAGTGGTGGCTGCTCTCTCCCTGGAGACATTTAATGTCAGGCTGGAGCAGGTTCTGAGCACCCTGCTGTAGATGTCCCTGGTCATTGCAGGAGGGTTGGACCAGACGGTATTTACAGGTCCCTTCCAACTCAAATGATTCTACAAATCTATGAACGGAGCATTCTTTCTCAGTGAAGCTGCACTGTATGTTGCACCAGCAGCATCCGAACAAACACTCCTCCCGTGCTCTGGTACTGAAGGGGCAATGCCTTGCATGGACATGATTGATGGCCAGAGAAGGTAATGCCATGCACACAGGAGAGATTGTCCTCAGCTGACGGCTGTGCCAGGAACACTAGCGCCTCCTGCTCTGCAGGACTGCAGGAGCAAAAATGCCCAGCTGCACTCACAGCGCCTGCCTGCCAATAACTGGAAGGGGGAAAAAATAATGAAAACCTCCCAGACAGCTGCTTCTCTCTACTTATCATCGTGTCTGTCATCAGGAACAAAAGACTTGGAGCACCTCTTGTGAAAGCGCCCAGGGCTGCCAAGGCAGATGGAGCGGACCTCCCCCCAGCCCCTTTGGCAGCCACTCACCAATGTACACAGGGGAGTAGTTAGTCTTGACGTTTTCATCTAAATAGGTGACGCCAAGCGTGTAGAGCGGCGTGGCTCCCATCCCATGCAGGAACTGCCCCAGCATGAAGACAAACCTGTAGCTGGAGAGCCCGGAAGCAGCCGCAGCGCAGGGCAGGCTCTGGTTGGCGGCACAGATGCCCACCTCAGCCGAGGAGCGCACCTCATAGCGGCCCGTGGTGAAGTGGGGCAAAGCGAAGAGCAGGGAGCCCAGGCCCATCACCAGCACGCCCCAGCCCAGCCAACGTGGTTTGTGGCCGTTCCCCCCGAAATAGCTGACGAAGGTGAGGCAGAGGCAGGCGGCGATGTCGTAGGAGCTGGCGATCAGCCCGCTCTGGTAGCTGCGCAGGTCAAAGCGGCGCTCAATGGAGGTGATGACCGTGTTGATGAAACCGTTCACCGTCATGCCTTGCAGGAAGGAAGCCACGCAGAGGAAGAACAAAACGCCCTTGGAGGTGTTGAAGAGCTGCAAGCAGCCAGGGGTGAACCCTCCCCAGCCGCATGCCAGCTCCTCCTGCTCGGCTGAGATGTATTTAATGCCTTTGGCCTCGCAGAGGGGCAGCCCGCAGGACTCGGTGCCGCTGGGAGTGCCATTGCTCAGAGGTGTGCCGCTTGCCGAATCAAAGGCTGGGCTGTCCTCACCCACAGGGGATGGGCTGGGGAAGACGAGAGGCTGGGAGAAGTGGAAGCCATTCTCTCCCGTTAAGTGATGGGGCTTTGCCATGAACGGCACAGCAGAGTGGGTCCAGTGTTGGCTGCGGCTGGGGCTGCTCTGCGGGGCGGTCAGCGTGTGTCTATTGCGGGGCTGTGAGTTTTGGCACACACATTAGATGGCAGAGGGCTGAGCCAGGATCATTGCAATCTGTGAACAGAGAAGTTTTACATATACTTTTACTATGCTATAACCTATAATTGTATTTCCTTTTGTAGAATGCTTTTTCTCAGTAAGTACCAGCATTTCGCTGTGCAGTTTGGCTGCGTTTGCCTTCCACCACAGTGTGCCAGTACCTCAAGTATTGGGGTTCCATTAATAGTGCAGAAAAGAAAATTATGTTTATAGAATCACAGAATCATGAAGGTTGGAGAAGACCTCCAGATCACCAATTCCAACCCCAGCCCACCCCACCATCCCACTAACATCTCCCTCAGTGCCACATCTCCATGGCTCCTGAATGCTTCCAGGGACAGTGATCCACCCCACCTCCCTGGGCAGCCTATATCAGTGCATCACCACACTCTGGAGAATAAATCTTTCCATCCATCTGGAACCTCCTCTACAGCCACCACCTCTTATCTTAAAAGATGAGCATTAAAAAGCTACACTGAAGACCAGCTCCCTGTCTGATGAAGTCCTTCATCACTTCTCCCTAAAAGTGATCCCAGTTCGATGCTGGACCTTTCCCCTCTTAGACACAGCCTCTTTCCCTTCCCTTTTTCCTGCAGAGAAATTTGTGGAAAGCTACAAGTTTCCCACTGTTAGAAGTCCTTTGGTTTCTCTTTCACACTGTGCTAATAACAGTTTATAATTATCCTGAGAAGTTTCCACAGTTGGATTGATTTTATCCCAGGCCCTGAGATCTGTTTACAACTATTCAGTAAAATCCTTTCTATAACTAATTAGACTACGTGCTGCTGCAGAGCAAGCTGGAGGGCACAGGCAGCTGATGTTAACCTGATTACCAATGCAGACTGTCTTTCAAACAGTTCCTGTGCTGTCCCAGCATCCCAGCACCTCAACATTGCAGAAAAAAAGAAATTTTTTACAAAAAGAGCATTTTTAGTTAAATGTATTGGCTGAACTATAAATGATGTAAAAAAGAAACTTCTCTTTTGAGTGCAGATCTTAAATACACAACAAATACTGGGCAAGAACTGCTTTATTACAGAATATTTTCAAAGCATTCAGCATTGCCCAGCATTTGCTGTCAATATTTATTCAAGAGCCTCCTATAAAAATGTTCCTCTTTAGATTTATCTAAGGGAATGGGAGAAAAGAGGAGGTTGTTGTCCCAATAAAATGAGCCACGTTCAGATTACTGTAACCTGGAAATGTTGCAGGAATATTCCTGTAAACAGTAGAATTGTTTGACCTCTACCATTGGTTCTTAGAGGCACCAGGGCAGGTAGGCTTGAAGAATTTGATGCTTAGAAGATTATCAAGGTTCTGCTTCCACCCCAGAAGGCCAGAGGATACACCCCATATAAACAGATGTCAGTAGTGCTACAACAGCACTGGTTTAGCAGATGAGATGCACTCATCAGTGCACGAGGCCTTTCATTTGCAGATAACTGTCCATTCTGAGGACCAGAGGGCACCGACTACATCTGTGTCCAGGTTCCTGTAGGAATTTGATGATAGTACAGAGGCAGGGTGAATTTCACAGCAAAAGGGCCACTGCCACACCCAGAGCTGTGTCTGTGGGTGCTGTCAGCACTGAAACCTGCACAGGTTACTGCTAACACAGGGAAATGCAAAAACTATCTGCAGGTTTCAAAGTTTAGCTGAAGGGACAGACTTGTGTAATGTGTTGGCATAAAAGGATAATAGTTTGGATGTATGGCTGTAATTTTTCACTTTTTTGTCCCTCTACTGTCCCTATGACTCTTGCGGCTCTAGATCTATTTTTCTCATCTTTGCAATATTGCAAACAATAAATAAACTCAGAAGGGATGACTGGCTGTTGGATCAGGCGTTAGGGAGCAGAATGGGTCACGTACCAAAGTGTAAATCAACAGACTGCAGATGCAGTCCACACATTTGCCATTACATTTGTCTATCCATGAAGAAGGCTGCTTAGCTGGCAACTGTTTTTGCTAGCACCGACTTCAGCAGGTTAAATAAACCCATCTCATATTGCTAACTTGTAGGATGGCGAGCCAAGAGTTCCCAAAGGGGCACCCAGGGGGAAGCGCTCGTACTGCCTCTATCAGCAGCAGGATGCCTCCATCAGTACATATTTCATGAGTCAGGAAGAGATTAGAGATTAGCATTAAAGTTTTCCCATCTTTAAAGTAGGAGGAGGAGGAGTCTGGCCACCAGCTCCAAGTGACCGCAGCATCCTCCCTTCCGACTTTTGTTACCCTTAATCCTATTGAGTTATCAGTAAACACGGAATGAAGCATTTCAGTGTATCCCTCCCAGGAGCAGCAAATGCCTCCCCCGTGCCCAGCAGCCTCACACTCTGCTCCAATCCCTGCACCAGCACAGAAGGGTTGCACCCAGTGCTCCAGGCAGGCAGCCCTATGCTGCACGCTGTGCCTACCTCACAGCCCGCTATCTCACCAAGTGTTTCCAAACTGGAACTGACACATTCACTGGGCAGATTAGCTTCCACATGAGCCATGTGCCACTTTAGAACAACAACAACAACAAAAAACGCACACACACAATAAAACTTTACTTCATGCACTTCCTAATCATTGTTATTCATCTACTTATTGCTTCTCATCCATCTCTGTTTTTAATGACTCAGCTGGTAAGTTCTTGCTTGCTTTGAACCAGTCCCAATACTATTATGTCAAAGCTATAGATGCCCTCATTTTGCTGCAAGACTTGTTCTCGTTATTGTTATTATTTTTGAAGACATACAATTGATTCCAGGCTGCCAACAGTACCAAATCAACACTATAGCAGTAGCAAGGCAATGAAAGCATGTATCTTATAATGAAATTTGTAAAGATTGCCCTCTCCCCAATATTTACCATTAAATCAATAGCAAAATGGCAAAACTTAGAAGCTTTTCATCAGGTGATCACTTAACAAGTCACAGGACCCATAAAAACAAGCTTTGTCTCTGCTGAGGCCTTTGGTTAATGTCACTAATTAACTCCTAACTGGCATGCGAAATAATCCTATTTGCTGAAGCAAATCTTTCCTTTCACTCTATGATTTTTGAATTTCATGAGGTATTATTGTGGCAAATGTCATCTACTCATCATTTCTGCTTTCCACAGCCGAGCACAGGGCAGATTTAATAATTTCTTCAATCCTATGGCAGCACACTTGCTAAGAGAAAACAAGTGATCAGAAAATGTGTTGCGAACCACGAGGGCAACCGCCCTCCTCCCTGATCTACAGGAGAGCCTGCCCTGGCTGCATGGCCAACCTGCCTTTGGGAAAGCCCACATCCACTCATGAGGCTCTGCTATCACTCCACACAGGGATAAATTCATCGAGGTTTGGACCCTTAATTTCTTTCAGTTACAAACAGTGAATTTGTGTTGCACTTGGCTTGGAGGATTATCGGTATTATTCTGCTGCAGCTGATGCACACCATATGGATCAAGCGTAATCCACTCACCGGTTTACCAGGGGAAAGCCTCGCAGAAGTGAGACAAATCCATACCGTGGTCCTGAGAACACGCCTGTCCTCGAGGGCTGCTTCAGCTGAGAGGGAGATAAAAGAAGGCACGCGGTGACCGGGCTGTTCTCTGGATGTGCAACACCACAAATTGCTGTCCTGGCAGCTGGGGAACTTTACTCAGGGGATGTGAGGACCTCCTGTTACAGCACAGTTACAAAGCCTCCCTTCGGCTCAGCAATACGGGGGAGGCTGCTGTTGCCAGGAGCAGCCTTTCACCAGCAATTCCAATAGGAACAGCACCATTCTGCACATACACGTTTCAGGAATGAGAAACATGCCCAAAGAGCTCACGGATACCTAATGCTGTGCTCCCCACCAGTGGCAGTGCTGCAGCTGCACCAGAGGTGTGTTGTCAAGCGATCAGTCCCACCAGGGTCTGAAACACAGAACCCAGCAAGCAGAAGCTGGCTTTAAATTATCACCGGAACAAGGACACAATTATAATTAAATAATGTCCAGCTAGCGAAGCTTAGCACTCACAAAACCCTTTGTATGTTTTCCAAGCACTCTTCCATTCGCTGGCAAATTAATGCAATAATATGCAAGAAATCAGGAAGGTGGCTTGGATAATTTTCAATTAGCTGCTTGAAAATGCTTTGAAGATAAATCTAGCCAGATTTTCTGAGCTTACTTATTTGTTCCAGCTTATCTGTGCAAACGCAATTGGCTGCAGCTGCCTCAGCCCATCTTCAAAAACTTGCCGTGCCAATACACAGAGCAGATTTAACCAGGCAACAATATTCTGCTGCAGCAAAGATTAGCCAGACAAAAGGTTCCTTTATGCCATAATGCCTAACTCCCTCTCTCTAATGTCACTCTTGCTTTAATGTCTTTTTCCTTCCCCTAAGTTTGATCAATGATGAGAAAGTTTCCATGCCAGCACCGCGGATGCAGTCCCAGTATTTTCCCATGATCTAGATCAACACACATTATTCTCCAGCATTTGGATTCTTAAGGACATTTAAGGAAGCTCAATACCCAGGACAATGTTTCTGCATGAACTATGAGTCAGCTTTCCTCCATGATTATCACTTAGTTTCTATACATATCCCTTCTTGCTTCCAAGAAATGATGATTCAGGCAAATCGTGGATGAGGTGACCAAACTGAATGGGCCAAATTATGAAAACGAAGCAACCATTCTTTGCTGTGTCTAAAGCAATTATATTAAAAAAGCAACATCCTATGCTATGCAATACAAGGATGCTGAGTGTAGGATAAATATAATATCATGATGTTGACACTATCACCACTTACAGGAACCTTTTTTTTTAAAACTTCCTGGTTAGATGAGTGCAAAGGTAGGAATGAAAAGAGGAAATGATACCATGAAACTCTGGGGAAGCCCTGCCACAAACAGGTGGATTTGGCATCAGCAAGATGTGGTGTAGGTGGTGTATTAACATTATATATCAGTAGCGCAGCCTCTTCATAAATAGAGGGTAACAGTCATTGCTGGAGCAGCAAAGCCTCTGCATGGTTTTCCACATGCTTGTCTGTTGCATCGCTGCTGGAACAGGCTTTTCATTGAGATATCACCATCTGGCTTTTTTTCCCCTGAACAATCAATTCATGCACTACATCAAGCTGCTCTCCCCTCGCAGAGTATCAGGAACTGGGAATTTGGCTTTACTGTAATGCAGCAAGAGCAGAAATGCTGTTGTTCTTGCAGCCATAACTACCCATACCCTAGCTCAGACCGCTGCCCCTCTTACTACTGTCTCCCATGCAAAAAAGCCCACCCAAAGCAATCAGGAGACACATGTACATTTCCACATTTTTCTTTACTGCTGCAGCACGGGAAGAAAACGACATGAAATCCCAGGCATTATGAATTCCTGCACAGAGGAAGAAGATCTGCCATGGGACAAAGCCTCTACACCACTTTTACATGCTGTAGGCTGTGGGGTAGGATGTCAACATCCAGATTAACTCATGTTTTGCTTCTTCTTGGGAAGAGACTGCTTTCCAGCAGCTCTTTTCTACAGCAGGTGGGCTTTCCAGGGCCAACCCTGCACCGTGAGCCATTTGCTCTACCAATAGAGCACAGGCTGCAGGACATCTGCAGCTCACAGCCTTCTAAGACACATTCTCCAGCTCTGTGCCTTGTTGGTGGATTAGATTCTTCCCCAATTGCTGTCCTAACCCAGATAATACAGGGGTAAAGAGAGCACATTAGAAGAGATGAATACATCACAGGAAGAAAAAACACACCACAACACACACCAAAAAAAAAAAACAACCCACAAATCAACCCATAAGGTGCATCCCCCAACATTCACCATCCTCAGAGAGCACATGAGTCCCTGAGACAGGCTGAGAGAAGGGTGGAGAGACAGCCAATACAGGAAGGATTCAGCTGAAGGAAGAGTATTACCCACACAAGCTCACTCTTTTTTCCAGATCAGCAAGTAATAGCTTCTCCAAACATCCTCCAGAGCACAAGCTCACTGGTGCACACCGCTTAGCCTGGATCTTGTTTAACATTCAGTGATGCTCTCTAATCCTCCGAGGTATTAGTCTTGAGATTCCTGCCAAGCACAGGAACAGCACAGCACTCCCAGACAGCACTTAAATGAACTTGCTGCTTGAAATGGGCCATTTGGCACTCTACCATAGAACTCCAGCTGTTCCTTTTTTTGGTTAACCTCAGATGAGCACCTAGGAAGGCACTACAGCATGCAAAACAC